CTCTCTCTCTCTCTCTCTCTCTCTCTCTCTCTCTCTCTCTCTCTCTCTCTCTCTCTCTCTCTCTCTCTCTCTCTCCTGCAAGCGGTGTTGCACATGAAGAGGTGGAAAGTTTGTTCACACCCAGCCAGAAAACGAAATAGCCTGACCCAGTTTTCAGCAGGTGCCGCTCCCCACCAATAGATGGAGCAGCCCAACAGATAAGCCCTCAATTCGGACGGTTCTCTTACCACCGCCGGGATGGAAGGCTTACACAGGGGCTTTCAACCAAAAACGAAAAGAAAAAAAGAAAAAAAGAAAACGAAATAGCCAGGTCGGTGCAGCGTGGTTTCTTTGAGATGGAGAGTTCCGTTCGCACTCGGCCCAAAAGAAGCCCGTCCCAGCTAAATGCATCCGTAACATAAACCTGCCCAGATATATGTCGAAAGTTGAGTAGTGGCCTGATAGGTAAAAACATCTGTGGCATAAACCCGCCCAGGTATATGTCTAAAGCCGAGTAGTGGGCTGTAGCAAGGGCTGCAGTGCGGTTGTACTCAAACATTCGTGTGTCCAGCATGAAACCACAGGCGCGTTGCTTTCCATACGATCTTTGAACCTTCCCGAACGAGGCGCCGGGAAATAAAAGCCGGGCTCTTGCTTTCGGTCGAGGAAAGAAAAAGGAAACACAAAAAAGAAAAACCAAACGTGCTTGCTTTCAATTGCCTGCCCCCACCTTCCACAACATCCGGCCAAAAAAAAGGGGGAAAGATATGCCCCTGAAAGTTTGATTTATTTGCAGCGCGCCCCTTAGACGTCCGACTTACCCGGTCATGCCCTCGGGGCCTCTGACCTTTCTTGAAGGCCCCTGTCAGTGAGGGGTGCAACATTCCAGCAGCGCCTGCGGCCGTTTGGTGGCACTCACGGCCGTTCCCCCTGGCCCTGGGAGAGGAGCTACCGGGGTATACTGGAAATTTGGAACCCGTACCAGTAGGGGCATATTGAACATATTTCAGGCCCAAACGACCCCAGGGGTTTTTCGGAAACTTCAATCGTTGTCAGAAGGGCGTGACAGGGTAAGTCTGCCGTCAGAGGGGCATGCCTCAAGTAAATCGAACTTTCAGGGGCATATCGAAAATTTTCCCCAAAATAAAAGAGGTACAGAAAAAGGCGTGGCTTGTCTGCCCGCGGTGCCCCAGTACCGCCCTTGCTCCTGGTTTCCCCTGGGCCCCCAGGGGGGGCGTTACGCGGCTGCCCGCAGTGCCCCCCAGTACTGCCCTTGCTTCTGGTTTCCGCTGGGCCTGCAGGGGGGGCGCTTTTTTCCCTTTAATAGGTAGGATTAGGGCCTTCGTTTCCCGTTTAATTGGTAGGATTAGGGAAAGGTGGTTTCAGGAGGTGTCCAGTGATGTTTTTTTTTTTTTTCTTTTTTCTTTTTTGGTCCCCCAAAAAAACGCCCCCGCCAGTGTTAGTGGTGCTGATAAGAGCAGACACCACTAGCACCTGGGGAGAGGCTCCATCTATTGGTGGGGAGCATCACCTGCTGGAAAACGGGTCCAGCGTCCCATATACAAAATGAAATTGGGGTATATCAAAACAGGATTGTGTGAAGTTCCTGCCAGCATTGATTACCCTGGGATCCAGGGGATTGACTGAGCAGGCTATTGGAGAGAGGGGGGAACCTCTTCGCCCTGAAACCGGCGCCAGATCCCTGCTGCTACACACTAGTTCCTCCCTCCCCCTACCAATGAATACTTTGGAATCCAGGGTGGCATTACTCTGGTGGGGATTCGTAGTTTTTGTCATCATCATCTGTCTCAAAATCCAGAAGCTTGTTCATGATCATACAGCATACTGTCAAGCTGAAGCCGGGTAATGGCCCCGGTATCTCAATTTGTTCATAAACGTTTTCACATGTCTTTGTGTGGGACGCTGGGCCCGGTTGGTTGCTCTAGAGACACATGCAGTAACTGACAGGCCATAGCTGAGAGGAGCAAACCAGGGGCAGAATAGGTATGTAAAAGCCACACAAAAAGCTTAGCTGCAACAGGCTAACTTAGGCAGGGGTGAGGGGTGGTACATCCTTCCCGAGGGAAGCAATCAATGCCGCCTGTACTACTTTTTGACTTGCCGGGGGAATAGGAACCGGACTGTTGCTCCCCAGAATGGCAGGAGCCAGAACCGAGAGGTTCTGAAAAAAAAAAAAAAAAAAAAAAAGCACGTGCTGCTCCCTACGAATAGGATGGAGCATGTTTTTTCAAAAAAAAAAAACAAAAAAGGGAAAGTCTTTGTTTTCCAAGAGAGGGCTGCCACATGGGACGTGTTTTCTACACATAATGATTGGAAATACGCAGCCTTTCTCGCAATATGAGATGAGATGAGATGGGACGAGGAACTGTAAGGCAAATACAGCTTCAGCATGAGTACAGAGAAAGATACACCCTGATAAAAACTCTATATCAAGTCTTGCAGCCTTGGCGCCGTGCTGGGTGGCTCGCAAAGAGCTCTTGCGTGCATCATAGCGTAAGCTGCATGCAAAACCAGAGCCGAGGGTGATTGCAAACAAGGGACCAACCAAAGCATAACACAAGATTCAGATCTTTTAAGAAGCACAAAATGTTTGATTCAAACCAAAGAGAGTCACTGAAATGAACAGCTATAATAAGCAGTCATTCCACCATCAGAGAAACACCGTCTGGTAATAAACCCCTTGAAGAGATTTAGGCCCTTGTTACCTAACTCCACATCCCCCGAAACCTTTGGCGATTAGTATAGACCAGAACGAAGCAATTTTTGTGGCGAGTCATGCATCTGGTCTCCATCAGAGAAAGCGGTACTTAACCAGTGGGAAGAGTTACAGACACTTGTGATGATGGTTGATTGCTAAGTTGATTGCGAAGAATGGTCCGAAAGGTAGTCCTTCTGATCTTCTGTAGAGAGTGTCAAATGCTCACCAAGAATTCCGACAGTTTGCAGAGGGATCCCCATGGGATGGGCCTCCACAAATTGGGCGGTGGCCATGACAGGCCGGGACGTCGCCAAAGGCCGCGGCGGATGGGGAAATGGAGTTTGGCTAGAATTGTGACACCTCTTCTCACCGTCAAGTTTGGCGAGTACGTGTAGTGACGCATTACACACACTGACTTGCTGAACTCGGTGGATGGCGGCTGTGGCGAATGCGAAATGGAGTTTGGCAAAAAAGATGCAGGCAGCGAGTCGTCAAACTTGCTGGATGGCAGCCGTGACGAATGCCAAACGGAGTTTGGCCAAAAATTCTTAACCTACCAATGAGTATGACTCAGTTGAGGTACCCATGAACTGTTGAACCACAGACCTGAGGTCGAATCCAGATGAACTTTCTTCTTCTTCTTCTTCTTCTTCTTCTTCTTCTTCTTCTTCTTCTTCTTCTTCTTCTTCTTCTTAAATACAGAGAGCGCAGGTTCCTATTAGGAGGGGTGATGTGAGCAGCCCCAAATCCAGATGAGCTAGATGACTGAAATCCAATAATTGAATTGTAATTCTGAATAACCAGGGGCTGGTCAGTTTGACAATGACAGCTCCTGGCCGTCACCCTCTTTCTTTTTTTTTCTTTTTTTTAATTTTAATTCTAACCTCTCTTCTGCTGGCCAAGTTTGGCACGTAAGTACGACGCACGCACGGACTCTGACGGTGCTGAATTTGGCGGATGGCGAGAAGTGTAACCACACCATCTGAACTGAGTGCATGTTTCTTTCGGAGGTCAACGTCAACGAGTGAGGGGCGACTCATACTACCATAGGGGAACTTTGCTGACTGCATCTACTGGGAATTAAAGCTGGATGCATCCATAAAAGTTCTTGTCTAAGCAGTACTCTGTCCTCCGCTGAAGTTTCATTGAAATCATTGTGAGAGTGCGAAGAATTTGAAGAACAAACCTCTGTGCTCCGGTGGCTTTCTAACTTCGTGCTGCGCTCCCATGTTCTCATCTTGTTTCTTTTTTTCCTTTTTTCCTTTTTTGATGCCTGCACTGACTCTGCAGGCTATGCATCAGCTGCTGCGCAAGGGTGGGGGTAAGGGAACTGGCAGGCCAGCTGCCGTTATTGCCAATGTGAGTGCCCGTGTTGGTTCGATCGGGGACAACAGATTAGGGGGTTGGTACTCCTATAGGGCATCCAAGAGTGCTCTCAATCAATGTAAGTAGTATCATTTTTATTTTTATTTTTATTTTCCTGCTACATTGTACCTTTTATTATATGTATAATATTGTACATTCACTACGCGGCCATGCTGTGCCTCTAGTGCCAGCGGCATGTCTGGAGTATTTTTTGGCTGTGACAGACCTTTCTTTGTTTCGTGGGTGTTTTGCTTGCTTGTGATGGGGTGTGAACCGACAGTCTGTAGAGTTTTCCATCTGGTGTGGGTGAGTGATAGTCTGCTTTGACTTTTGCCACAGGTACCTTGAGGGCAGTGGTTGGTGGTCCCCACCACCTCAGAGGGGTATCAGTTGCCGGGCACTCGTTGATGCTTGACCACAACCGGGGTTAAGGTGGATTATCACTTAAAGTGTATTCAGTTATTGGATTCTGCAGACTGTTGAGGGTTCAGCCTCCTGATGAGTCGGTGAAACTCCGACGAAACGGTTTGTCACCGCCCTTCGTTTGTTGTCCTCTTCTCCCTCTCTGCCTACGGTTTACCAGGCAGCTCTGTTTGACTATAAATATGTATTGCCACATATTGTATTTGTTGCTATGCTCCTACTCCGTTCATAGTGCAAAACTCAAATTCCAAGAAATGCAAGACTTGCTCAAATTCAAAAGAAGAGATGGAGGGCGATGGCGGACTTCCCCCTCCTCCTCATCCCTCTTCTTCTCCTGTACTCCTCCTCTTCGTAATCACTTAAATGCAACAACACATGAATGACTGAACAGGAATCATGTCTGAGTGTTCAGCCTTATGGTTAGGTGTTTGCCTGCCGAGCCGTTGGTTGTGTGTTCGAGTCTTGTATTCGGATTACACGAGTGTTCCTCCTTACAGCCAGCAAAAACTCGAGAGACCACCCTTCTGCCCTAACCTCACGTCTCCCCACCTCCTTGGTTGGCGCTGCATCAAGACGGCCCCAGCGTGGGTCCTAGTTCGTCTTGGGTGTCTTCCGAGAGTGTTGTGGTTATGGCGGGAGGCGGAACATCCATGCTCATCACGGATGTTCAAAGGACAATGCAAAGATTACCATGCTAGTCCCATTTCCTCCCGCCATAACCACAACACTCTCAGAAGACGCCCAAGACCAACTAGGACCCACGCTGGGCCCTTCTTGATGCAGCACCAACCAAGGAAGTGGAGATGAAGGCCAATCCACAGCCAAGGTGGGTCCCTCTATGCTGCTTTCTCTCTCTCTCCCTCTTCCTTACCTCGAACTCCCTTCTACTGCCCTTCTCCTTCCTCCGGCATGAGGTGCTTCACGCTCTGCGACCATAGCCAGGACTGCGCCCTATTCCTGTCTTGCCACTCCTTTTTTCCTCCTCCTCTGAGGACCACCACCCTCCTCTCAAGTTTCTTCTCCTCTTAGAATCCTCCTAGTCTTATTACTTCGAGTAAAAAAGGGCTCAAACGCATAATCATGGATGACTGCGAATCTTTCCTAGGCAAAAATGCAAGACAACACGCAAGCCTGTAATCAACCTAGGGTCCTGCAGGAGCACTTGCCAAATTTGAAAAAGACAAAAGCTATGGCAGTTGTATCTTTCCGCGGTCTAGCCAACGATACATTCTCGGTTTTGCACGTTTGCTGAGTAGTGTGGCAAGGTCCCAAGGCACTACCACAAGAAGAACCTGCAGTACCCCCACCGAACTCCTCTTCTCTCCTCAATCAATCCCTCCTCTAATAAGTTATAACCCATCCATTTTTTTAATTTTTTTTTTCAACCATCTCAATTTCCTTTTTTTTCTTTTTTTCTTTTTGATGATGGTACAGATTTCTTTTTATTTTTATTTTTTTCTCACAACCCATCCAGACAGTACTGAGTTTGGCCATTGACATGCAGGGCACAGCACACTCCTTTCTATCTCCGTTTCACCACTGGGTAAAGATCCCACCTTTCATCACCCCAGCAGCACTTGATCATGAAGATGTACGGTTTCCACCATAGCTTCAGTGGGTATCTTCCCCCAAACCGCCAGAAAATGAGCTCCGCTGGCCATGCAGGGGCTTCCCCCTACAGATTCAGAATGAATGTCTCATCCCATTGCAGTTGTCATGATATCGGGGTATACCAGCATTCACCATAGACTGTTATGAAGGCAAGGAGCTCAGGTTGCTGTGTAGCTCGGAATTTCAGTTTTTAGGAGGTGAGCCTGGGTAGCCTGAATTTCATTGTAAGAAGGTGAGCCTGGGTAGCCTGTGGCCATTAAGGTGAGCCTGGGTAGCCTGTGGCCATTAAGGTGAGCCTGGGTAGCCTGTGGCCATTAAGGTGAG